AAAGTCCTCGGAGAAAACCTGCCCCAGCGCCACTTTGTCCACCACAAATCCCACTTGACCAGACCCGGGATCGAACCCCGGCCGCCGCAGTGGGAAGCCAGCGACTAACCGCCTGAGCTATGGCGCGGCCAACGGCTGTAGTTTACTGGTATTCTTTTTGATATACAGACGAAAACCACAAAATCTAGTCGATAATCGGATGGAGTTAGGCCCCCCATACACACACAGTTTGGCCTTCCGATCGACCTTACAGGCAAAACTGTGACAGTTTACCCCCTCCCTTTCCTCCCCATACACGCGCAGATAAAGCGGCAGGCTTCATGCCACAATCACGGTCTTCCAGCCTATAATGTTGAGTCACACACGTCACGTGNGGTCCTGCAGGCAGAACTGACGGACTGACGGGTTTCCCACAGGCCAACAGCCCAAACGATTGGCCGGCCGGCCGCACCACACACGTCAGTTTTGTCTTTCAGTCTTCAACTGTGCAGGCCGAACTGGAGGCCAAACTGTGTATGTGTATGGGGGCCCTTACCTGTAGAATAGGCTATGCCACACTTCAGGCGGCTAGTCGCCGGCTTCCCGCCTCGGCGACCAGAGTTCGAGCCCAGGTCAAATCGTGGGATTTGTGATGGACAAAATGACACTAGGACAGATTTTCTCCAAGTACTTGGTTTCCCATGCCAGTTCTTACTCCACCGAATGCTCCACATTCATCATCTATCATCCGGGCCTGGTACAATAGACCAATTAGTGGCCGAGGTTCCAAGTGGACTCAGTCTCACCCCACCCCAAGAAACTGAAAATAAAAACTGCCTCTAGAATGCAAGTCTTCGCCGTTACCTGTGCACTAACCGATTCGATTCGTAACTTTGAATTCCGCCACGTGCAATTTTGTCGATGTCTTTCTGTATTGTCCAGTGCTAATGCCTTCTTCTGATGGGAGAGCGATTCCCCGTCAAAGAAGCCCTGCCTCGCGTCTCGGACATTCATTATCTCATAAATAGCATGGCTCTGCAGGAAGATCTGCACTGCAATTTGAGGAACAATTTTTGTTGCTCGTAATGGTTACTTGCATTTGACGCCTGTGGTTTCTTCACACGCTGTTCTTATGACCTTCAGAACACGTTTTGTTTCCATGGTTACTATGAAACTATAGTGCAGACTGCTTTTACCGGTTCTCACGGTCTCTTCGCTTGCAGAATTCTTATATTTTTTCTTCTACCCTGAAGATGGAGGCGATACGTTGCTCCGAAACGTCGGTTAACACCACATATACGCGGTGCCAAATCCCAGAAGACTGCTTTCTTCAAGTAATAGTGAAATTAACACTCTCTCCGAGGTCTCCGCCTTGAAAGAGCAATTTCTGTATTAACACTAATCGTCTTGTCATGATTATTGTCCGAGATACTGAGCGTGACGGACGGACTTACGAACGACCCGGATTCTGATTGGGCACATGTAATGGACCAAATCCTTCGATCAGAAGCGAGTTAAACAGTGAAGCTGTATCGTTTTCATGAGGGCGTTTGGCTGGAGCGCTTGTGAGCGTAACTAGCACTAGACAGACCAGATCTCCACGCAGAAGTCACCTTTACCTCCGAGACCCTTTAGTTCAAATACTGAGTGGGTCTCTTGGCCACGGCGGAGCGAAATTGGACCTTAGTCATTCATCATCTTACAAGGACATTCCGATTTCGTGTTGAGCACTGTTGTGCTTTAGATGGTCTACTGCCGTCATGTCATTACAAATTCATGTATTCTGTTTTCAACGTACGCTGGGAGGAAATTCATCCGTATGCAAGATTTATTTACGATTGCAAACTCAAGGTATGACGTACACTTGTTCGTAGATAAGATGGACATAAGCTTATAACGTCGCAGCATGGCCTCTGCAATGCGTATATCGCTGTGAAAGATTCAAAGAATCAGTCATCGAATCAGAATATTGTCCGTGAATAAAAAGGTGAAGGTATCCCTGTAACAGACCGTGGAGGCCCATAGGGTTGTGAGACGTAGAAGCTCTCACGTTTTCTATAGACAGTCGGCTCACAGATGGAAGTAAGGTTGTCAACCTTACGCGCCGGCCGCGCTTTACTCCTCAGGAAAATTATTTAATTAATTCCTAGTACTCATTTATGTTAGAGGCTGAGTCGACCCCAGGGCCATAGTGCGGCTGGAAGGATTACGTCAGTTAAAAAAATCTAATGGCCTCATCGGGATTCGATCCCCCGACATCCGGCTTGTAGCATAGTGCCTCAACCAACTACGCTACAGCGTGCCCCTTGTTAATGAATGCCTAGTTGAATTTCCATATTCCAGGAAATTACTAATAAGTCGCGCAGTCTAAGTACTGCCTGTCTCCGGCATTATTGCCCATTTGTTGCCTCAAGTGCGTGACTTGAACACACGTAGACGGATGGTCAGGTCCGTTTGTTTTATCTCTGGGACTACTGAACGCGTTTCGATTAAGTTTGATACCGTTGGTCTACACCAAGTGCAGTACAACGAATATAATACGGTTTATATGTCCAAATTTCATCCCAATGTTACATGAATTCCCAGTCGATTTCAATTTTCTCGAAAATGGTACATCGTACGTAAAGTCCGAAACGCCCGTCATATTGAATGACTTTTCTTCGGTGTTCCGAATATGTAACGACATGCAAGGAAAGTTTTTTTGTTTAGTAATGTCAGTTGTGTAACTGAATAGGTGTTATATTCATTGACACAGTATAGAGTGTAGGTAACATCTGGAACGGATTTGTGTACGAAATTATACACGTATGCTTATCCGTCGTAAATGAATGTCAAGGCCATTAACATGTTGAGGATCGCAAAGATCGCATTTGGAAAATTTTATACTCACTTTGAATTCGCCTGTCAACTTTTGCAAGCTTCTCGATAGTACGATTTCACAGTAAATCACGAGATCGGCTATTGACAGCTTGTATTTCGCGCAGTAAGCACGCCCGTGTTGGTATAGCCCATCAGCCGAGGTCTTTGTTGTGCTCGTTCCACGAAATGTGTCTTGCATGTCTCGTTGTTGTTTTGTTAAGGACGCAGTCGCCCTTTGTAATTACAGTGATGCCATCAGGGTACATTATGTTTCTTCATTTAACGATCATGCTGTGGGTAATTAGG